AAAAATTACGAAAAGGAGAGATTTACGGCGAACAAAATCATAACGGCGTACGTGTCGTAAAGTGGGTAGACAAACGTGCCGTTTTAATGATAAGCACTGTTCCAAGCCACATCTGTGATCTACAGGCTACTGGAAAGCAAAATCGAAGAGGAGAGGACATTCTCAAACCTCCTGCTGTGATTGCTTACAACAAAGCTAAAAAGGGGGTAGATATATCAGATCAAATGTCTGCGTATTATACCTGTTTGAGAAAAAGCCTAAAATGGTATAAAAAAGTATTTGTGGAAGTTGTTTTGGGCACAGCTATGGTGAACGCATGGATCATTTTCAATGATTCAAACCCAAACAAAAAACTTCACATGTTGGAATTTAGAGAACTAATTGCACGTGAGTTATTGTCGGGCATTTCTGAAACTATGGAAGCAGTGGAACCCACACGAACAAAGTCTCGTAGCAGTATGACTATTCATAAGCTGGCAAAATACGAAGGAAAAGTGCGTGACAACCGCAAAAGGTGTGTCTCTTGTTACGAGAAATTGCAGGAAGCTGCTGGTAGTGCTCATGCGAGAAAAAAAACTAAACGTGTAAATACTTTCTGTCAGGATTGTCCAAACAAACCTGTATTATGTTTAGAATGCTTTAATGAAAAACATAAACGTAATTCATGTTAATTTTTTTCGCTTTTGTTTTAATTTTCATATAATTAGTTTTAAGAAATATAAGAATAATAAGTTTTTTGATTTTCAATATTTGTTGTCATATTAGTTAGTAAGCTAAAGTTTTTATTTTTGTTCAGAATTATTTTAATTTTAATATTTTTAAATTGGAAAATAAAAATAATTATTATTTTTGGTGTCCGCTCTTTATTGTCATGTTCTAATCATAATAATAACCGAGTGCGCCACCGGTGGTACACTGATGTACTTATACCTTTTATATAGCCGAGGACTGAATATTGAAAGCTTCACTTAAATCTGGTTGATTTTATATCACGTTAACTCAATATATTACCATGTACCACCGGTGGTACACGACGGCTACAAATAATATACAGCATGTACCACCGGTGGTACACGTCGTCGCCAAGGTGTTATATCGCCAATAAATATATATTTTGAAATAATTGTATTATACAATTTTATCGAATCTATAAAATATTAAACAGCTTACGTATAGAGGTAAAAAGTTTACCACATTTTATTTAACATTTATAATATTTACAGATACACTCTGTCTATTAGACTCAAAAGAGTGAGGTTATATTGATGCGAATCAATGATTCACGTTATAAATGTAATAAAATAGAAAAAAATGCTAACAAACAAATTTAAACAATTGAAAGATGCTTTTTTTATTAACTGTTCAATATCATGTTGTATTGTGAAATGTCTGTAGAAACAGATAAATTAGCCAAATCATATCCGTTGAGAAAATAATTAGTTTTTCAGTAATATTTTGAGGGCTGAGAACAACAGGGTTGCAAGCGACTTTTTTTAACAGAAATCTATTGTTCTTTGAATTCTGCATAGAATAGTATTGAAAGTTCTGTCATTCGTTGATAGATAGCGCCACAGTCAACAATGAAATATAGTTCCAAGTGCACAAAATGCTTTAAGGTTAGAACCATATAGTTTAATGTACTACAGTAAGTATTGGTGAAAGTTAAATATCAGTTTTATCAGTTAAAATTATCATTTTCTTGCTTTGCAATGTCCTGTATCCGAAAATGAAACTTGGGAAGGGAAGAGAAAAAAAATAACGTTCAAAATATGTATGATTTATACATTAAAATGTGCAATGCAAATAATATACCTCCACAAACGATGTCTTTGTATAGACACATTTTTAATTTTGAGCATAATCTAGAGTTCTTGCAACCGAAAACGCATAGGTGTGACGTCTACGAGGACTATAGATTGATCAAAAAAGAGAACAGGTTTTATGCAGAAGAGAAACAGATATATCTCTCCTACATTACAAAGAAATTGATAATGCGCCAAGAACGTGAACATAGCAAAAAAACAACAGAACTCAAACTGTGCCAGTATATGTTTTTTATCTGGAAAATGTACCTAAATCTGAAGTCCCTGTGCTGTTTTAAAGACAGAAATTATGTTCTGTTGATTCAGAAGTTTACTGTGCAGTATGACCATAAACATTATATGGGAGATCAGGGAATGATTTGTCTAGTGCTCTAATACAAATTTTAGAGAAAAGTAGTTTTAAAACATCCGGAAATAAATGAGATAATCACGTAGAGTGATAGTTGTGTTCCTCAGAACAGGAAATCCCTGATCTAAGTAGCAATCACTGACTTCCTGAACAAACATCCTAATATCCAAATGGTAACTATGAAATACTCCATACATGGTCATTGGTGCATACAGGTTGTCGATGATATCCATTCTCCCATAGAAAAAGCTATAAAGGTTACGGATATTTGGTCTCCACTAGCCCTTTATAGACTTTTATTAAAATTTTTTCGAACACAGACGAAAACCATTCTGTGATTAATATGAAAGCAAGACACTTTAAAAACTTAAAAAAACAACTACGTTTTGTGCAAGGAGACCTGTTTACTGTTCAGTATAAGTAAGCAGTATAATATGTTCAGCTGAATGATCACAGAGCCTAATTTTCTACAGTCAATGTTAGTAAAATTACCAGCAGCACTAGGAAGAAACAAAGAGTGGTTCCCATAATTAATTCTAGTGCTGATTTTGCATTTGCCCCGGTCGATAACGTAAAACCCAAATCTCTGACTCAGAAAAAGCTTGAGCGTATTGAGTTTGCGTATAAAAGGATGCCACTGGAAGATCAGAATTACATGAAATGTTTGATTTCTGAAAAGAAAAACAGTTTATAAATAAAAGTTAATTCTCTACTCTTCGTTAATTTTCTTTTTCCTCATTTTATAGGCTATTATTGCTATCAATATGCTATCAATGCTACAAAGGCAGTACACTCTAAAATGATAAGTTATTTTTAAAACTTCAAATTTATTTAGGAACACAAGTTTTAAGTAAAGCAGTTACAGTGCCATAAGGTTCCAAGTACAAGTGTAACATTTTGAAATAACCATGAAATTTGCATTTTCTACCAAAACGACAGCATTGTTTTATGAATTACTGTATTACCAAATCCTTAAACAATAATATATAACATATCTAGCAAAGTATAATTTTTGTCAGAACTGTTTTATTTGACAGAAAACTTTAAAATTCGTTTCCTGAAAATTTTTGTAAAGGTCGCTTGGAACCCTATGGGTTCTCATCCCTTGATTGCTCTCTTTTTCTAATAACCGTCACGAGCACGCGCAGGACTGTGCAATATTATAACAGCAAGTGTTTAAGTTAAACATAATCATATAAACGATATCTCGCTGGTTAATTATTGTTGATTTATGATATATTGTTAATGTTATGTTAATTATTAATAATTTAATTATAAATGTAAAGAAAATTGATATATCATCCAAACCTACTTTCAATGGAAATAACTTTTTAAGGCGTTTTAAATTGAATAATGTTTTTAATTAAATTCATTATAATCACAGGTAACAATTTAAGTTGAATAATTAAAATAGTAGAAAATATATACAACAGTGTAGATTTTTCTGTAGATAAACAATTCATTAAAACGTACGAACCGTTGGAACTACCTGTATATACAAATATATGTACTTATTCCGTTTTTTTTTCTACAAAAAAAAAGAGACATAAATGCACCTTACTAATAAAAAATAATTTAAAAACCACTTTATACTTAAAAATACTGAAATTCAAGACTAGGACATTCGGAAAACCCCGTGTCACCCTTATCCAAAACTTTTCTTTCCGGAATGTCGGTGTCTCAACTGGATGAGACGGTCCTGCATTAAAATATCGTGAGGCATCGCTCAAAAGTTATAATGGAAGAGAAGAGAATTCTTTAGGATACAAAAAAATGTTTTTATATTAAATTTTGTAAAATATATTGAATCTCGGCCTAAAATTAGCAATCTCAGAAACAGCTTTTTAAGTACATTTCTTTATTTCTCAATTAATTTCTCTTCTTGTTACAATAGAGAGCTGTTTTTAATATATTGACAGTTTGTATGATGTTTTTCAGTTTTTTTTGCCAGATTTTCTATTCTTTGGCAAGCTGCTTTATAAGAGTCTGACTAATTTGTCAATCAAGACAAAGGCGCCTGCTTCTGGATGATTATTTTTTCCGGATTGACAATTGACACGTCAGATGTTCAAAAATAGTCCTAGTCTCTAATGTTAAAATCAAAAAGGCTGCTCACTGACAGTCTAACTGATATACCTGTTAGATCGTTTACCACTTTGACCATTTCGAGATCTGGCTAGATGTTTATCTATGTTTAACAACACTGACTACTATTTTAGAATCTAGATGACATTTAACCGGTTTCTTATTGTTACACTAATTTCCTTGAAATAACCTGGATACTGTTTCCAATGTTCTTACAATTTTTGCTCCATATCGAAACCAGCTGGGGCAACAACATGAAAAGCATTTTATAAAAAAATATAGTTTTTCTCAGATTCCTTAAATTTAAGTAATTAAATAAATGGTATCTTGATAAACGTGAAGAATAAAAAGTTCGTAATCTGAAGCCATCAAAACATCTTAAGAAATAATTACTAGGAATCGATAAAAAAATAGCTAGTAAGGATCAAAAGATAACAAAGTAGTGTAAATTATTTTCTACTCCTGTCTGTTCAATGTACACATGTTAATTGCTTCAATATGGATAAGAGTAATCTATCTGGATAACTTCAAACTGAATGACACCATACACTGTTGAATTGCTGTTCAAATTTCCGTAGATAACTCACGAATTTCAGTACAGAACATCTCAACTCTAAACAATATTTAACATCATTTTGGTGTGTGGTATGGAAACTTAATTTAAATTCATCTAAATCATGGTTGCGTTTTAATTGGTTTTTCGTTTGTTTTTTTTTTACTTTGACTCTTTTTTACTTGGCTATTTATTCGGTATCGGCCTTCATACCGCGTACTTCACCTTTTTGACGGAGAGCTTCTAGTTCTTCTTTTGTTTTATCTTCTATTGCACGAATGTCTTCCATCGTCAGACCGTGCCAGCGGTCCATCCAACAGAAAACTTGTCTAAAAAACAAATTAATTATAAATATATACAGTGACGTTGTAACGTGTCAAAAAGCCGAGACGTTATATTTTGTTTAGATTTCGTTCATTTAAGTTGGGTTTTTATAAGTAATTCTCAAGAAATTATTCTACGCCGTGGTGATAAAATGTCCGTTATGTTTTTACCACTCAGGGCCGTTCAAATATCAAATAGTATTATAAAGGGGGTAGGGAGTAGGAACTCCTTTGGAGTCCCTTGGATTCTATTGGATAGTCCTCTCAGGGAAAGTGAATCAATCCCTGCCCTCTACAAAAAAATACTTTCGGTGTGGTGAAGATGGCGGAGTTGGTAACCTTTGATTTTAGGGATAGTATAGGATCACAACCCGCGGCGTATGATCCAGAGTGGGCGGCCGCAAACAGTGTCGGACCCAGAATGGGCGGCTGAAACAAACACTCACCAACACGTCTAGCCAGCGTGATGTTTAAAGGCTAAATACCCCTCACGAAAATGTCAGTTGAAAACACGCAAATACCCCAGGCAAGCAGGAATAATATTTCCAGAATCTTGCACTGATAAATTATCAGTCCGTTCCATGGATTCTGGGGGGGGGGGCAAAAATTGACAATTGACAAAGACAGGAAAAAGTTTCCGAAATAAGACGACACTTTATATAGGATGCACGTTCCCTACAATCCGATGAAAGATTACTGAACTTGAGTGCGAACTAGAAAACATAAAGTGACACATAGTCAGACTCAGCAAAATCAGAAGACGTGGCGAACACTTATTTAAACTAAAATTACGACAGTAGTTTTTACCACGTAGGTGATGACAGTAATTCGTTGGAAGAAACCAACTTCATTATACACAGGCGTCTCCAAATAAGTATAGTATTACTAAACAAATTTTCCATAAGAGTGATATTTCTTACTCTCAAATTGAATACAAGGTATAATATGAAAATAATACAGGTTTATGCACCAACAACAGACCGTTATGAAGAATTGGACCTATTCTATGATAATACCGAAGCTGCTCTTAAAGGCCATCAAGGACATGTTACTTTTATATGTGGTGATTTTAACACCCAAACAGGAATGAAATCCAACCCTACAGAAACACCTCTGGGAAACTTTGGCTCGGATGGTAAAAATGAACGTGGCGAAATACTGTTAAAGTTCATGCTGCAATTTGAACTATTCCAAATGAACAGTTTTTTCAAAAAGAAACAACAGAGAAGATGGTCATGGCACAGTCCTAATGTATAAACTCAAAACAAAATAGATTTTATTATCAAGGACAAAAAAACACACCATTAAAGACATCACGATTCTAAACAGATTTGTTACCAGTAGCGATCATAGAATGGTACGAGGTAAAATGGAAATAAGCTTAAAGAAGGAGAGGTATAAGATGATTAAAAGGAAGAACAAATTAAAACCATGGATGAAACCACAAGATGTAGAGTTTTCAGCAATGTATTTCCGACAAACTTAGTAGTCCTGAAACAGAAAATAATATAAACGACAAATAATAAATTAACAAATGCTTTACTAGAGAAGATTAGGCAAAATACCAGACCACTAATGCAGAAATGAAGAGAAATGGCAAAGGATGCCATTTGCATGCCTACATAACGAGCAAAGGATGAATGTAAAAAAACATTAGGAGGAAGAAGGTATTAAAGAGTATTTTAAACCAACCTTTCACCCTAAAGTTGTTAAACCAGTTAATCGATAAACTTTAAAAAAAATTGGTATGAGTTTAATTATTAAATTTTTACAAAAAAACTTGAGAATTACCCAATTTCTTTGTTAGAATCCGTCTAAAATACTGTAAGTATGTAATATAATTCCTGAAATTAATAAATAAAAGAAAAAATATTAAACATAGAAGAAATATTACAGATTATTCAAGTAATGAATTTCTATTAAAACTCACCTATGGAAATTTGTAAATAGCCGCCTTTCAGATTTTTGTATAAAACTTTCTATCCTCGTCTAAAACGATAAAGATATATAATAATTAATCAAGAATGAAAAGGATTTTATATAGTAGCGTTTGAAAATTTTTTGACTAGAGTAACTCTTACTATGAAACTAATAAACTACTCATGTTGCAGTGACGGAGATATTTCGCTAAACCATCTAGCAATACCCTTTTTCAATGTTCCATATTCACTTCTATCACAGTTCACTTCTCCCTAGGTCTACTGCATATATGCCCATATTTTTTCCATTTCTGTGTCTTAGTAGTATATACTACTGACACGTTACCATCAACATCCATTAAACTCTAAAGGCATGTCTCCTTGGAACTTCAATTTCATCTCAGCCAACATTAAGAGAATAGACATGTATAGTAGCTGTCCAAATCCCATTGTGATATATTTCAAAAGACTTGGGAGTGCTAATAATACTAACTGATAGCTAACTTCAGTCAGTACTAGACTCACTTCAACAACAATCCGAAAGGATTAAAATTGGGGATGTACCGGATAGCGTACCTGGCCAATTCGGCTGGATTGGTACCTGACCGGACTCCAGAATTTCGGCCGGATCCGGACCTGCCTATAAGGAAGTATTCCAATCGCTTAATGTTATTTTATACTTTTATACCCAGTTCTGAGGTGGGAAATCTTTCAAATTCTTTCAGATTTTTAAAATCTTCAAAATTCCGGCCGGATCATAATGAAGATTCGACAGGAACGGTAGTTCCGACCGAATTAGTGGTACCGCGAGAATTCCGGTGTATCTTTAATGAAAATTTAATTTTTTAATGAGATCTGTAGTACTGACACAAACAAATTTCAATTACCTGTAAACCAAACCATTTGAATTCTACAGTTACTAATTTATAACACGTCATCACAGGATTGACTTTGTCCTTCCAATCAGGACCGACCAGAGGTCCTCTGCCTGTCTTTTGAGACTTGAACTTAGTAGGATCTTCGTCATCTTTGTAATCTCCAGACGATACAGCATCATTAGCGATGTCGATGTGTACCACTTCTCTTTGTTTCAATTTGTCACCCGGTAAGTCATGAACCTAAAATAGATGAGATTAAATATATAACGAAATAAGCGACAAAAACTATTTAGTTAGATACGAAAAAAAAAGTAAGGAAATGCCATCGCCAACAATGTTAAAATTGGATGCTAACGTGTAACCTGTTTGACATAAGTTTTCGATACCAAAATTAACAATGATTGACAAATCAAATTTGTATTTATAAAAATAAATGCATTATGTCAATTTTATAATATACTGTAAGCTACAATCTATTACATTCTGTGCTTTCTTCATACATACCCATGGACAGCACAATGATATCAATGTTCAAGAAAGGAGATAAAGAAAACCGCACCAATTATAGAGGTATAAATCTACTGAACATCGCAATCTAACAACTTATCAGATGGACAACAAGGATTCAGATCCGTAAGAATCTGCGTATTTGTACTAAGACAAATCACAGAAAAGGCCATCGAGTACAATAAACCAGCATATTTATGTTTTATAGACCTGACAAACGCTTTTGATCGCATCCATGTCGAAGACGAGACGTCTTAAACCAACTGTATAAAAGAAATAACCATTCAAAACATCTACTTACATAATCGAATACAGGCAAAGATAAATGGAAAACTAACACAGCGTATACCAGTGGAAGCGGAGTCAGACAGGGCGACTCGTTAAGCCCTAAATCTCTTTAATATAATAATGGACGAAATAATACAAGCAGTCCGGAAAGGTCATGGTCATGGACAGAATGAGGAACAAAGAAATCCAAATATTATGTTATACAGACGACGCTGCATAAATCGCCGAGACAGAAGACGAGTTCCAAAGATTAACACATATCTTCAATACAACAGCAACAGCCAAGAAATACAATATGATAATATCAGCAGAAAAAACCAAATGTATGACAACACCTAAATACCCACTATATCGAAATTGATGGGAAAATCATAAAGCAGGAAGCAAGCTTTAGATATCTGGGAATAGATATAACAAGTTACGGAGATGTTGAAGAAGTACGACAACAAAGCTTAAAAGTAAGCGGCGGAATCTCTTAATGACACAATATGGAAGAACAAACACCTAGACAAGACACAAAATAAGAATCTATAAACCAGCAATTAGACCTATATTGACATACACAGCGGAGACAAGATTACACTTCTAAATCGAGATGACTACTAGAAACAACAGAGATGAAAATACTCCGCCAAATATCAGGTAAAAGTCTGATGGATAGGGAGCGAAACGAAAACATAAGAAGAAGAGCATGCAATATAGAAAAGATAAATGGATGGGTGACAAAACGTAAACAGGAGTGGAACGAACACATTAGTAGAATGGCAGAGGATAAGATAGTACGAATAACACAAGATAAGTCACCAAATGGACGAAGAAATATTGGCAGACGGAGAAGATGGTGCGATAATTTAAACAATTTGGGAGGCTAATATTAAAGAAGAAACAGGCTTTAAAACCTAGATACAAGAAGCCAGAAGAAGAAGCTGTTTTCGAACTTTTAGTATAGGTATTACTTTTGACTAAATTTTCTCAATTTCACTGAACTACTTTATCTAATACGATGGCTGGAGTCTAAAATGGGGACTGGACATAATTGAACAGACTTTTTTTATTATCCCGGTATTTTATAGCGTTCTCCGCCTTCCGGTTCCCAGTTTCCAGCTACGTCGGTCATTCCATTCGCCAGCGTGAAGGTTTCTTTCCGACATTGCCTTCTGAATGCCGCCCAGCCAGGATTGTTTTGGCATTTCCCTCTTTCTTCTTTCCCTTGGCGTCCATTTTAAAATTTGGTTTGGCAGGCTGTCGTCGTCCATTCTTTTCACATGACCATACCAGATCAGTTGTCTCCTTTGAATTTCGTTAATGATGGTTGACTTGACTCCTATTATATTTCTGATATGGTCATTTTGTATTCTATCAAGCCTTGATTTTCTAGCTGATCTTCTCCAGAAGTCCATTTCCAATGTAAGTAGGCGTCGCTCAAGGGATTTAGTAAGTTGCCATGTTTCGCATCCATAGAGCACTATACTTTTAAAGATGGACTTAAAGAGGAGAGGTGTAACCCTAGATGCCTAGGGTTACAGGCGAAGGTCAACGGTGGACGGAGCAAACGAGATTGACTCGGAGTGCACGAGTGAAATCCATTGGTCCCGAAAGCGGAAGAACCGATTTAAGGGAAGACTAGTCTCTAGAGTCCTGAAAGACAACTAGTCTAGAGGAAGAAAGCCTTGATTAAAAATTACCCGGTTCTCCTGGAGGGGGTTAAGTCATGGGGCCAGCACCTCCATACTAGTTGAAATCCTATAAATGCTAATAATCCTAGTACTATGTAATTGAACAGACTAAGTACAAAAAATTAGTTAGATACCAAAAATAACTGCCAATGCTAGCAACATATAACGTTAGCTATGATCATGTTATGTAATATGATATGCCATATTTCAGTGGTGTAATGAATAAGTAGCAAAGGAAATGAACGGAAGAGACGTTGAAGACTGATTGAACGCAAGTTCTTATCACAAACCTGAAGACAGGAAATGAATCCTAACTTAAAAATATTGACAAAGAGGAGATCGATGTATGTGAATGACCGATTCAGTTAAATCATTCTAAAGAATTTTTTCTACGTGAAAAGACTGCCAGGACCTGATTTTATAAACAAACCTCGTATATCTGAAGAAAACTGCATGAAAAGAATTCAACACGAATATTAAATAATATGAATTATTTCTATTTAAATAGAAATTATTAAAGGAAACAATATTAAAATAAAAAATAAGTGAATAACTGAAAATCAACTTTTTGGCACTTGGCCCATTATTGATAAATCTTTAAATGGAAATAAGACGGTGATTTTCTTAAGAGGAATGCATAGTTAAGTGGCTGTGCGAATAGGTCAAGGTATATGTCAAGGGCAATATTATATTGGTAATAATAAGTTAATCGATTAATAAATATAACCGCTTGAGTTTCGTCGTGGTCAATGCATTTTTAGATGCAAGCGAAACTGCTTAATTGGAAATAATAACCAAATTGACAAACTGTTGATATTGGTTATTATTAATCAATTTTGAACTGTCTAGTGTGTTTGAAGAGTTGACTGACTTCATAATTGTCATTTTTATATACATTTATAATTTGTATAGATTTTTTATAGACATTTTATAGATATTTGTATAGATTTCTTTTATCATTTTGAAAGAAATACATATATGGCAAGAATTGGATTTGTAAGGTGTAGACTTTACATCAAACGACCCAAGTCAAGCTCTTCTGCCCGAGCAGTTGATACGAGTTGATCTGCCCTCCTAGATAATTAATGAGTCACTGGCTACCGGGTGTGAGCGGAATAACCTTATCAGATCTATATACCGTCGAACGGGAATTAAGGAAAGGTAATTACAAAAATACTCCTCAACCCGTCTGAACAACGGGAAACCAAATACTCCCAATTAAAGTTAGTACCATCTATCTACCGTCCGTCGGCAAATTCAAACAAAAACATAACTTCCAGACCATCTTTTACCACGTTCAGTCCAGACAAATTAATATAATTATTTAAATGGCGAAGAATACATCAATAATAACCGACATAATCAAAAATCATCCACAAGACAGAGAAGTTTCGTCTAATTATGCGAACAGGTTCCCACATTATTTAAAGAGTTTTTCCCGGATGATGTATTGTACGACATGAACCATAGAACGGCCACCGAGATCACCGGATCTTACCCCATTAGTTCTTTCTTGTGGAGTTACCTGAAGTTCAAGGTATACGAAACACTGTCGTCTTTTTGTAGAAAATAAGGGTGTCTTCTTAAGGTGTCGTGCATTTCTGCGTAGGCGTCCACCGTACATCGTCTTGTCAGGTGAGATGTTAAATATTCAGGATTAAATAATTCTGTTTTTAGTAGCATTGCGAAACATTTTATATTTATAGCTGTGGATTCCTGTTCATTGTCGAATATTGCGCAGCCATGACATTTTTTTACGTCCCAGACCTCTCCTACCCTCTATCTTCTATTCGAGTATCAGTTGCTGAAAAGTGTATCTTTCTCCTCGTAATATCTGCCCAAAGTATGCAGTCTTCTTACTTTTTACATAACTAAAAAGTTCCCTATCCTGTAAGCCCGCTCTTCTGAGTACTTCCTCATTTCTGACCCTGTCCGTCCATGATATTCTAAACATTCGACGCAGGCACCACATTTCAAGTTTGCTAATGGAACTGGCCTTTAACGTCCATACTTCCATTCCATATAGGAGAACAGGCCATACGTAACACTTAAGCATCTTGTATCCGAGGTTGAAGTCCAATTTGCGATCAGTCAGAAACTTACGAAGCCTCAAAAAAGCATTTCTGGCTTGTTCAACTCTGCTCTTTATTTCATTCTCGGGGTCCCAACCCTCGTTCAGCAAACAACCCAAGTATTTGAATTGCCTGACCTGTTCGATTTCTTCTCCAGAGACATATTTCTTTGCGTTGGGGTAATCATTTATACTTATAATCATCGTTTTTGTCTTCTTGATATTTATTTTCAAACCCCGAGCTTCACTTCCAAGAGTTAAATCATTGCAGGGGTGTAAAACCCTTAAAAACCACAAAGTACGCCCTCTTGATGTTACCTTGTATTGAGAAAGACAAGGTAAAGTAAAATAAGCCACTACTAGGGTTAAAATAAAACAACAGGTACAGTTGAAAAGAAACTCAGCCACAGAGTCTAGGAAATAATACGCAGAGCCCCTAGAGCGCTATGCTCTAGGGAGCCCGAGAAGGACTAACCTGGCTGACCTGAAAGTCACCGGATATTTATAAGTGTTTAACCATTTAACCTGTACAAACTTATGGAGCGGAGACTTTAACACTCACGCAAAAATCTGCGAATAAACTCAGAGTTACGCAACGAGCCATGGAACGTGCAATGCTGAACGTGAGCCTCCAAAACCACATAACAAACCAACAAATCAGGCAAAGATCAGGAGTTCAAGACGTCATCGAAAGAACC